GGCCCGGGCCAGCCCGCGCGGGGCCCCTGCTCACCCCCGCGACCCCAGCGAGCCAGGCGGCAGCGGCTCCCGGGCAGGAAATAGTGAACCGGGTGGGGCAGGCACACGGGCCGCGGGGCCACGCTCAGGTTCACGGGCGCGCGCAGCTGCAGCAGCGCCAGGTCCGAGCCGCCGTCCCGCGAGGCGTTCTCGTGCGGCACGAAGCGCGCCACCCGCTCCGCGCGCGGGCCCGAGGGCAGCAGCACGCGCCAGGCCTCGAGGTCGGAGATGGCTGGGCTACGGGGGGGCCAAGGCATCCCCCCATCCCGGATTTAGACTCCGAATCTCCGGGCTGGGGCCCTACGTCCCCACCCCCCTCCCGACCACCCTCGTTTGTACACCTCCCTTGGGGACCCCACATGGGACATTGAACTTGCACTATCCCAGTCCCCTCCCGCAAGGAGCCCAGCGGCTTAGCATTGAGTTGCTAACCCTCAAGGTTAAAGGTTCAAACCCACCTGACACTCTTGTCTGTGTGCGGGAAAGATTTAGTTTTAGGGTTACTTTGAGCGGTGGCAGTGTTTGCTTGTCTTGCCCCCCTCCTCCTCTCTTCCAGGTGGGGGTCCACACCCAAGGGGGAAGGGCTGGGACCAGGATTTGAAATCTCAGTCCCTCCCCAGGACAGTTCTCACTCACTCTGGAAAGCAGCTGGCAGGCGCCAAGACCCAGCTCTCCGAAACCAGCGCCCCATGGCAGGGTCTGAAGCCTGGCACCATCACCTGGGTCTCCCAGGGCCATGCCCCTGGCCTCGGGGCCTTCCCACACACTGTTGAGGGGGGAAGCCTGGGTCAGAGGCCCCCTGCCGCCAAGCTCACATTCCTGCAAACTCCTCTCCACCTTAAATCTTCCATCTGCAGGACCCATCCAAGGGTCCTGGTCCCTCACCTGGCAGGGCAATGGTGCAGTTCTCTTCGGCGGGCTCCGGGGGCTCTGGCTGGGGCCCCTGAGGGTGGGCAGGAAAGGCAGGCCCAGGCGTGGAGCCCATCACCTGTTCCTGGATCCAGGCCTCATAGGGAGCCACAGCTGTGAAGACTCCTGGCCGGTTCCTCCGTCCACAGCCAAAGCCAAAGCTGGTGATTCCCACCTGGAACCAGCGACCACCTGCTTCACACACCAGAGGGCCTCCAGAGTCACCCTGAAAATAGATGAGGAAGTGTCGGGGTGGGGGTGGAGGGCGGAGCAGCCCAGAGACCCACCACCTCATCCCTGGCCTCCTTGCAAGGCCTCTCTGTCTTTGTTGGCTCCACACGCAGCCCCAGGGCCCATGGGTCAGCCCTGTGACTTGGGGCAGCCTACCTGGGGAGGCCTCCTGTGTACTTCCTACATTTCTACCCAGAAGAAAGATTTGTAAAGCAGGAAGACCCATGAGCTAGCCAAAGCCAACGGCACCAAGCTTCTAGGGTAAAGGGCACACAAAGGAGTCAGGCCACATTTAGAACCAAATGCTGCTGCTTCAAGAAACAGGTCCAATCAAATCCGCTTCTTGGTCCCTCTTGAGTCCAGTCTATTGATGAGTGAGTTAACAGAGATGGCTTTCCAGAGAAAGAGGCTGTTAGAATTGGCAGCAAGAAGGGACCATTTGAAAGCAAGGACGCAGAAGTAGAAGGCAGAGTCGCTCCAACAATGGTTCCAGGCCATTTCATGGCGGGGCACTGTCCCTACGGTGTGTCTTTGACTCAGGGTCAGGCGGAGGCTCACAATGAAGGTTCAGGACTATCCGGAGCTGTGCTGTCCAATAGGTCCATGCATAGCTATTGGAATTCATTACAAAAAAACAAACTCACAGCGACCCTGCAGGACAGGGTAGAACCGCCCTTGTAAATATCTGAAACTGGAACTCCTTATGGGAGTAGAAAGCCCCACCTTTCTCATTCCTCACCAGCACCTCCTCACTAGCCACCTAACGAAGGCTCCACAGTGAGAGGTGGCTTCTGAGCGGGGTGGTGCAGATCATGGAAGATGGACACCATCACAAAAGTTCAAGAAAGCGGGGGATTATGTCCCGGAAAAGGAGCCGTGGTGGCATAGTGGTTAGGCGTTGGGCTGCTAACAGCAAGGTTAGCAGTTCAAAACCACCAGCCACTCCTTGGGAGAAAGACAAGGTTTTCTACTCTGTTACACTGTCTGAAACCCACAGGGGCAATTCTACTCTATCCTAGGGGATCTCGATGAGTCAGAATCAACTTTTTGGCCGTGAGTTTGAATTTATATCCCTGAATCCTGGGGGCTCAGAATTGGGAGGGGCCCTGGCGGTCCTCTACTTCAACTCCTCATGACCACCATGCATGCCCGAGTGCCCTCAAATCACTAAGTTTCTAGGGGAAATGGTTAAAAGTTACTATCTGTGGGCTTTCAGCCAGCGAGCCCTTCAGGGAAGGTTGACTTTGGTCTGCAAAACCATTTATTGAGCAGCTACTAAATAGGTGTTGTGCTATGAGCTGGGACCGGAAACATTATGCTTATTGAGAGCTAGGACATATTTAGTTCTTTTTTTTTTTTAACATTTTGTTAGGGGCTCATACAACTGTTATCGCAATCCATACACACATCAATTGTGTAAAGCGCATTTGTACATCATTCTCAAAACATTTTCTCTCCACTTAAGCCCCCGACATTAGGTCCTCATTTTTCCCCTCCCTCCCCTCTCCCCCCCAACATATTTAGTTCTTAGTACGGTCCAGGCACTGGTGGCGTAGTGGTTACCCATTAGACTGCTAACCACGAGGTCGGCAGTTTGAAACCACCAGGGGCTCTTCGGGAGAAAGAGGAAGCTTTCTACTCCCGTCAAGAGTGACGGTTTCAGAAACCCACAGGGGCATTTCTCCCTGACCTATAAGGTCGCTGTGAGAGTCGGCATCAACTCAAGGCAGTGAGACAGGGAGGAGGCCAGGCACTGTTAGGAGTTCACCTGTGAGGTGGGCAATATCATCATCTCTGGCTTCCAGAGGAGGACAGTTGGGCAGACGGGGGTAAGACCAGTGTCACACAGTTAATAGGGTGGTGGTCCTAGACCTCTGACTAGATCATTCCTCTCTGAGGCTGGCACTGAGCTGTCGCATGATAGTGCCAGAAATAACGGTGCCCACTTGGGGGGCGCTAAGTTCTGTCCATTCTCCACCCCCACATCAGTGCCATCCCTTGGCACACTTATCTACTCCTTACACTGCTTCCCATTGGCAGGACCAGGTAGGTTCACGCGTCTCCCCTCACCTGGCAGGTGTCTCTGCGGCCCTCTGGGTAACCAGCGCACAGCATCCCGGGCAATAGCTGGAAGGTGAGGTTGAAGGGGCCGGGCCGGTTGTAGAGACATTGACAGGCAGCCGCTCCCAGCAGCTTTAACTCCACTTGCTGCAGCATCCAGGGCAGAGGCAAAGGATCTGGGGCGGGCAGAATCCAAGAGCAGAGACTGTGAGGTCAGGCTAGAGAGCCCAGTTCCCCCGGGCTCAGCTTTGTCCCCCTCCAGCTGCTTCCTTGACGCCTCAGCCCACCACCTGCCAAACCAGCTCACGCGAGGGCCTCCGTGGATGGTTGTGGGGTTGTGTACTGCACATAAAGGCCTCAGCCAACCAGAGATGTGTCTGGGAGCAGAAGTCACTGAGCCAGGACCCTGCTGTGGGGTTTCCTTGGTCCAGAGAGGGTACCTTTTTCATAAAGATGTCATAGGGGGACCCAAAGCCCATCTGTAGGCCACTGGACGTCCCCTTACAGAAGGGTCTCGGGGAGGAGACGAGCCAATCAGGGTGTGATGTAGCAACGATGAAACATACAACTTTCCTCTAGTTCCTAAATGCTTCCTCCTCCCCCACTATCATGATCCCAATTCTACCTTACAGATCTGGCTAGACCAGAGGATGTGCACTGATACAGATAGGAACTGGAACCACAGGGAATCCAGGATGGATGATCCCTTCAGGACCAGTGGGGTGAGTGGCGGCGATACTGGGAGGGTGGAGAGAGGGTGGGTTGGAAAGGGGGAACTGATTACAAGGATCTACATGTGACCTCTTCCCTGGGGGACGGACAACAGAAAAGTGTGTGAAGGGAGACGTCGGACAGGGCAAGATATGACAAAATAATAATTTATAAATTATGAAGGGTTCGTGAGGGAGGGGGAGCGGGGAGGGAGGGGAAAAATGATGAGCTGATGCCGGGGGCTTAGGTGGAGAGCAAATGTTTTGAGAATGATGAGGGCAATGAATGCACAAATGTGCTTTACACAAATGATATACGTATGGATTGTGATAAGATGTCATAGGAATTAGACCTGGCCCAGGACCAAGTTGCCATCCTGGGCATCCTCTCTGACCCTTCTCTCGACTGCCCCTGGCCTGAGCGAGTCCCAAGTCCTTGAACGGATCAGTTGTGCTTTGGGGGGCATTCTTGCGGCATCTGTCCTAGTTCAGGCAGCCTAGCCTCGGGGCTAGATGATATCCCAGCTTCTCTTCTCTCTGGATGCTCCTGTCCATCAGAGGAATGATCCAAGAGGTCAGCTCTGATTTCATCGGAGTACGTGGAATGCTTCCACCTTGGACCTCAGCCCTTTCTGAAATGAGCCCCTTCTTAGGAAAAGCAAGTCTCGACCCCTAGGAAGGTGGGCCGCTCTCCTGCTCTGCCGCTGACTCAGAATCCCGCGGCTCAGGCATTGGCCTAGGGAGGCTGGAAGTGGGGATCCACCAGGGGGCTTTGGGAATTGTGGGGTGATCCCTGAACCTGGTGTGCCGTGGGGTTTCTCTGACCTTGACGTCCACACAATTCAGTCTTAGCAGCCTCTGCTGCCTGCCTTTCTCCCAGCTGGGCAGACAGGCCCTTCATCTAATAGGCCTTCCTTGGATCCCTGGGATCTGCTGCCCTAGCTCCAGGGCCTTTCTGCACAGCCAGCTGATGGCCTCTCTGCACAAAATCTCCCCAGAAACCTCCTGGACTGAATGAAAGGAGGCTGGAAGTGGGCATCTGCCGCACACCTGCTGCAGGCCCGGCGCTGTGCTTTAGTGGGGTAACATGACTCGCCTGAGGTAAACGTAGCCCCAAAACAGTCTCACTGCGATGCCAGGCTGCTGTCAGTATGGATTGCAACTCAACCGCAAGAAACCAGACTTCCTCACCACTGGACCAAGAGAAAAGCAAGGATGTCACGTTGAAGCCCAGGGTGCTCCGGACCCGGGACCCGTGCCAGGGCATTTCCCATGGCTTCATGTGCACGTGAAAGTTGGACACCGAATAAGGAAGACCGTCGAAGACTCGGTGCGTTTGAACTGTGGTGCTGGAGAAAAATATGGAACGTACCACGGGCTGCCAAAAGGACAGACACGTCTGTGTTGGAAGAAGTATGGCCGGAGGCTCCTCAGAGGCCAGGATGGTACGACTTTGTCTTACATACTTTGGACACAGGGTCAGGAGAGGCTAGTATTTCGTGGAGAAGGACCTCCTGCTTGGTAAAGTGGAGGAGCGGCAAGAGAGAGGGAGGCCCTCAAGGAGATGGATGGGCACAGGGGCTGCAGCAATGGGCTCTGGCCGAGGACCTATTGTGAGGACGGCACAGGAGTGGGCAGTGTTTCGTTCAGGGTCGCTATGGGTCACCACCGACTGGACGGCACCTCACAACAACAACAATAGCAGAGCAAGGGACAACGTCCTGATAAACGGAGATAAGATGGACGCTGTCCCCGATTTCATCTTGCGGGGGTCCCCAATCAAAGGTCCTGGAAGCAGCAGTGGAGACGTCAACTGACGTATACCGCTGGGCGCGAATCTGTCACACCGTTTCAGGTATTAAAAAGCAAACGTGCCACGCTGAGGGCTAAAGCATGCCTGACCCACGCCAGGTATTTTCTCTTCTTTTTAAAAAATGATGATTTTTTTTTTAAGCCAAGATCTTTTCAATCACCTTATAGGCCTGTGAAAGTTGGATACTGAATAAGGAAGAACGGATGCATTTGAGCTATATTGTTTGCAAGGCGTTTTGCAAACACCGTGGACTTCCAGAAGAAGAATAGCAAAAGATCTCTTGGGAGAAGTTCAACCTGAATGCTCCTTAGAAGTGAGGATGGGGAGGCTGGTCTCAAGACCCTCTCGGGTGGGGTAGAACTGTCCCCGCAGGTTCCCCGAGACTGTGAAACTTTAGAAAGCTTTATCTTTCTCCCTTCGAGAGGCTGGTGGTTTTTAACTGCCGATCTTGCCGTTAGCGGCCCAAGGAGAAGCTCAGTAGCCACCAGTGCTCCAGTCCCTGGAAAGGGAGGCCTTGCATGCTAAGGCAGAGGGTCCACGGGAAACAGGAAGATCCTCCTGGAGGTACATGGACACCACGGCCTCTGTAATTGGCCCAAGGATAGCAACACTCCTGCGGAGGGTCGCTGGCCGGGCCAGGCACCATGCTATTACCTTTATGTGGATGTAACTCCGCCCCACGCCTCCCCAACACCAAATGGAACCCAGCCAACATGCATGGACGTGTCCAGCACAATCGTCCTCATTTTCCGGGGGAGGAAACTGAGGCTGAGTGAGGAGACAAAAAACCTGCCACAAAGGAGGCACGAGGGGACGGTGGCTGCCAGCTAGGCTTGAGAAAACCTCCCTGCTATCTCATCTATTCCAATCTCACACGGCTCTCTAGGGCAGGGTGTCAAACTGGTGCCCACGATCCTCGGAAATAAAATGAAAATAGAAAAAATGGTGATGAAGAAAATAGCGCTTAGGGGAGATGGAGGCAAAACCGTACACACGATATTCCCTCATGAGCCCTTTAACTACTGAAGACGAGGAGACCCATGGCCCAGTGCCTCTCCTGGGGCCGTGGACGTGGATAAACGCGCTGACTCAGTTCTAGCGACGTTTGGAAGCGATCTGTCTGCCCCTCTCAGTGTCATGTCACGTCATGTAAACAGATGCCAACAGCGAACAGGTTGAAAAGAGCATTCCGGGCTGTGCTGTGAGGAATCATACCTAGCGGCAGCGCTAGTGAACATTTTTAGAGGGAGGCCATTATGATTGTGCAAAGTCACGTCTGTCAGCTGTCCAACGTTTTGTGTTTTTTATTAGTTACTTTGTTATTTTTTCCGGTCACAGCATAAGAGGTGAGTGAAAACCAGCAGGAGGAAAGCGCTGGCAAGTTTGGGGTAAAAAAGAATAATTTTAGTTTTGTAAACTAAATTAGATTCAACAGAATCATTTTAGTGTTGTAAACTAAATTAGATTCAATAGATGTTTAAAT